TAGCAATTGAAGAAAAAAAAAAGATTAAAGAACGGGAATATTAGATTGAACAAGAGTTAAGATCGTTTTCTATAAAAATAAATTAATTTATGTTTGTAGGAGAAGAGGAAGAGGAAGCTGTGGAGGAAGAAGAGGAGGAAGAGGAAGGCGAAGATTGATGAGCCAGATCCGCCGGTAAAGCAGATTTCGAGTTATCATAAGTAGGGTGCAGTTATTATTATTCGAGAGAGAGAGAGAGAGAGAGAGAGAGAGAGAGAGAGAGAGTTAGCCTCTGTAGATACGACCCTTTGATAAACTTATTAAGTAATTATTAAAAAATATATGTGTGCTTCATTAGCTTAAGTTTGACGTTAAAGAACAATGAACAAGGTGGAAGCCTTCGATACTTTGTAATAACATTTTAATGACCAAGAAAAACGTGTAATAAAAATATAAAAAATATGTTCATGTCCATATAATTGGTGGTGTTACAGACGAAGTATAGGAGTAAATTGTTGTCACAGACTTATAAATCTGTGATTCTCACTGAGAAGCTTAAATGTCAGAAATATTGGTAACGATGAACGCGACACGGAAATGGTAATGGAGCTTCGAAGCATCGTTTTTGAGTGACAAAATAATACATTAGGTGTGAAGTCTATGCCAGCAGATTGACTCGTCGTTGCCGTACATTCCCTTAAATCTGCATCTTTTTCGATATTTATTGATATCATTCGAAAGTGGAACGTTTGGTCGGACTTTCATCGGCAAAAATCATCCAATGACATAAAACTGCTTGGATTCCATGACCTCGGTGGCATTAATTTTTACTCTAATATAAGTCCTAAAAAGTATTATAATTCAACTGCATAATTTTCATGAAGTCTGACATTCCCGCATTGCATTGAACCTTCCTTTCTTCGAATAATACCAACAAACATCGAAAAAGATGCTGATTTAAGCTAATTAAGTGTCACCCATGTTTCGTCTCATTTTGTTGGTAATTGTGACCTCTACCTTTATCTCCTCGCTAGGGAGTCTAGTCCCTTACATGTCACGTGACTCTGTCCAACTTTATCCGCAACGTCACACAGTTTAGAAGAATAGGTGTAGAGGACAGCATGGTTGCTAGGGATGCTCTCACGTTTGTGATTCGTCACGTCGCGTCGATCAACTACGCTGCCCTCTTCCTCGACTCTGCCGAAATGCCCATCCGTGACGTCACGGATGAAATCACGTGACATGTGAGGAAAAGTGCGGTAACGACTCGACGAGTCGTTGAGCTGACCATACGGTAAAAAAACCACTTCCGTCACTACCAAATACTACTAGATTAAGTAGTAAACTTTCCAGCAGATGGCGCAAGTATGTACTAGATAACATAAAATAGTTGTAGAAATAAGCTTTCTTCAAAGCTTTATATTAGATTCATCTAAAAATTGGTATTTTTTTTATATCTACATTATTTTAGATTGAAAGAAGAAAATGTAGCGTTATTTGCGTCATTCTGTATCTATGTTAAGAGAGTATGTTTGGGAGTAGTATAACTATTAAATAAGAATAGAAATTATTATACAGTGAATGTTTAAGCTACTTATTTATTATATTTATTATATATTCCTCATTATACCAATTTTTACTTTATTATTACTACTTTATTATAACTACAGCTTTAACGAGCAGGTTCAAAGGTATAATGTACTTTTCCATCATATGGAAACTGTGGGCGAACCTGAAATAGTCATATATGAGTATTACAATCATTAAGGCTGTCAGTATACGGACATTCTTTAAACGTTTTGTACACCGTGTTTTCTTCGGCATAAAAAACTCCAGAAATAGGTCCGTACAGTCACGGCCTAAAAATTTCCATTCGTGTATATTACAATTCCAAATGATACTTACAAAAATTGGTTTAGTATTAGGAAAGATCTCAGGAGTAACAAACACCATGAAAATATACAAGATTATAAATATCGCAGAACACTTGTAATAATCGTAATGCGAGCGAACACCATATGCGAACCGATCAACTCCCATCAAGTCAAAATCATAATGTATCTAGAAGAATATAAATTACTGATTACTTTGGAACATGCAAAATAATTTCTACAATTACTGGTACTGTGATCTAGAATTCTTATTGTCCAGTTGTTTGAATACTCATATTTCTGGTTTGTGAACTGAATATAAGAGTACTTGAATATCTGAACTTTGGTCCAAGTATTTTGGTATCTGAATTCGAATTTGTTTTCGCGATTACTCAATTATGAAATTTCTATCTATTTTGGTACTTTCGGCAAGTTATAACTAAAATTCAACTATACAATAAATGCTGTATGTTTGAGTAATAAACAAAAGATGATACAAAAAAATACTCGAGCAAAGGTAGGAACCTAATTATGAACTTACACATTGTCCATAATTCCTCCTTAGAGCAGGGAAGTCCCATGGATAATATGGATCTTGTGCTTCGACACCTTTCATTGGTAAATCTGGATAATCTCCTTTACCTTCGCTAGGCTTGTATTCCATTACATGCAAACCATATTTCTCTGCTGCTCTTTTCCTACCGAATAGTGTTCTTGGAGTCGGTTCTGGTAAGAACTCCTTCATGTCAGGAGCTACAAGAAGATATAATACATAATCAATGCATTTTGAACACAATATAATTTCTGCATTTTACACTTCATCTATTATGCGCCTAATAAAAAAGATTATTAGATGATGTTGTTTGTTGGTTTCCAAAAGAAGTTGCTATTGTTATTGGAAAATTAATTAAGAAACTATTAACTGATTTTTCAAAGACTACTGAATTATCATTGGTACATACAGTACCACACATTGTTAGAACCACAGTTAGAACCACACATTGAAATGTACATCCATAGAATTAGATTTGATTATTGAAAATTATTATTGAAAATTGATTTGATTATAGAATTGATTATTAAAATAGTTATTGTAACAGTTATTACATAATAAGCAAAACTTAACCTGTTAAAAGAGGGATGATGACATTTAAATAAATTTTCTTAACAAATATGATACGTACTCCAAAGTAATCTTGCATATCTTACTGTAAGGTCTTCCTGGTTATCTATTTTATCGTAATGTCTGACTTGAATAAGCGGTATATTCGCCTCGAGTATTTTAGCCGATAATTTTCTATATTTCATTAAAGCAGCCATTTTGCCAAGCTATGCCCACTACCGCTACCGCGATACCCACTACACAATTCAGGTGACAGCATTAGAAAAATCAATGAAAAAATGTATACCTACGTATTGTACGTAAAGCTCTTCTTATTTTAAGCTAAATATGCTTAATTATATGCCTAATTCCTAATTCAAATCAAATTAACCTAGCATCAAATATTTATCATGTTCTATAAAGGATTAAATATTCATTGTGAAAATAACATTTAGACTAAAACGTACAGTATGCGCCACCCTTACTATAGGTACCTACACGCGAAATGCTCACTTCGGCCTTTTGGATTGATGTATATATTAGTTAAAATCGAGTATGTATTCTGTATTGTACATACATAGTCCGTTTCAACTACGATTGAAAATGGATTGTAATTTAGTCAAATTGAATACCGTAAGAATTTTCGAACTTCCAAGGGCTGAAATTAAAGCTGGGAGGAAGATCGCATTTTACAACAAACCTATATATGATTGTTGAAAAATTTGAATCATATCGAAAAATCATTCTTACCTAGTCCAAACTTTAAACTCGGCGGAAAATAATTCAATTTTCAGGGCATCTTGGTTCCATTTAAAAATGTATTTCCATAGGAATTTTCGAACTTGTAATGAGTTCAATTAGAATTGTAGGAATCGAGCTTTATGATAGAGCCATTGAAGTTCGAAAAGTTTCGAAATCATTGGTGCATCACTATAGTTTGCGTCTTAGACGAATCGTCAAAGGTTTACGCAAAAATAGGTAACGAAATGAACATTTTTGTTTTCTTTCTGGTAAAATTCAAGTATTGTCTCGTTGTTTGCTATAAGCTCGTTCTCGATTCAGCGAACCGAGCTTATATCGAAACTGCGTGCAACTTCGAAACGACGACGGCCATGTTTCCCGACGTGTTAACGTATTACGAGTAGGGACGATAGGAAAATGGCCGGTAGCGTGTGTTCGTTTGTGTTGTTGAATTCAGTATAGCTTTGGATAAATACCTCCGGTGAACACTAACGGACATATGGCGAGAAAGGTGTTTACCCTTTCGATTGAATAAATTAAAAAAGGTATGTTCAAACGCAAGCCTTCTCGGATAATAATGAGAGTTTTATTGCGCCACCAAACCCTGGTACGAACTCTAGAATTCAGGATGAGTTGTCACATTTATTATTTTAACGAACCCGAATTTTCGATTAACACCGTTTGGCAATAAACGTTCCCTTGTAAAATCAACACGGAAACGTGCACTCCGTCGACACCAATTACTTTACATATTACGTGAAGGTTCGTGTGTGTATGAAGTTTGTGTATCTTCGACAACAGTTCCATTTTTTTTCAGAGTTAGTGTCATTTTCTGTGCTTCGTGTGTTAAGCAGTTATCACTGACACTGCATCGTATAATCATTGGAATTATTTAATTGTGTTTTTTTTATTAATTTGTTACTTAATTCTTTTTATGATTATAACGATGGTATTAAGATATCTTCAGTGTAGACTGCGAAAATTGTATTATAAGGTACTATAATCGATTTAAAAAAAAAAGGTCCGTATCAGGTGAAATAAGAGGTCTGGAATTAATCACTAATCACTGATCGTAATTTATGGATTATATAAATACATCTGTTGTGATTATTTTTGTTTAAATTTGTTTCAATATTTTAGAGGGCGATTGAGTAAAGATACAAGGATAGTAAGATGGCTAGCCCTTCACCGCAATCATCTCCTATGCCTCCACCGCAAGCCCCAAGTCCTATGGGTCCCCCGCAGCAAGCGCCGTCACCATCTAATCCTCAAGGCAGCCCCATGGGTCCACCGCAACATCATCCACATAGTCCGACACAAGCATATCAGACTGGGCCTCCGATTCCACCTGGTGGCCCACCTATGTCGCAACAACCCCAACAACCACCGCAACAGCAACAAAATTACCCATCTCATCCGCAACAAATGCAGCAGAACATGGGTCCTCAGGTAAGAATGAAATAATTAAATTGTATTCTTATATTCTATTATTTCATAGGATGCATTGTCATTGGATTGCAGGTTCGATGCATTTATGCCAAAATTAAGTAGATAAAATTTGTAATATTAAGATTAAAAGGATGTATTAGTGGAAAAAAAATCTCCATTTGGTTTCTGTTTCTTGCAATTGATGCAAGATTATTATACAAAAGATTTTTGTTTCACGGACATGGGTTTACGAAACTTTTATTAAAAATTACATAATGTACATTAGGAGCAGTTAAATGTAATGAACAGTTTCTAGGCCAAAGAATTGAATCTCGTAGCACATCATCTTAAGTTTCTATCAATAGCCTTTGAATCGGCAGTTTTAAAGAGGTCAACCAGCTGATCAGCAATTTGGTGATTACAAGCTGCGATTACTCTAGGTACCATCAAGTCCAATTCTCCACCTGAAATAGTATAATGAAGTTGTAGCTATTGCAATTTATAGGACGAAGTATTATTTGCAATGTTCAGAAGAGATTTGTACCAGCTGTATCTATTACTATTCCACCTGCTTCTTCAATTATTAATTTTCCAGCAGCAACGTCCCAAGCGTCTATACTTTCGACGTGATATGCTTCTACAGCGCCCATTGCAACGTAACATAGCGTAAGAGCTGCAGTACCCAATGATCTTATCCTGAAGATGAAAACTCGTTGCAATTATCACATTCTAATAACTTACCTATCGGTAATTGTTTAGTAGTTTTTTAGGAAATCAAACGATCGAGGATTTCTCACTAATGATAGCAATTTTACTCATAAACCAGCAAGTTACATTAAGTAATACACTTAATATAATTGCAGCAAAATTAATATAATTGATGATTCCTCCATGTCATCGCATTCTATTCCCTTCAATCGCGAGGCAGCAGCGAGTGATTAACCAATGAGGAACGGAGAAAATATCTATAAATGCTCTCTAACGACTTGCGACATTACGGAGAAAATTCCGCACGAACATATTAGCAAAGTTGAAAAGGGAAATTACCCATGAGTCCCTTGAATTAGAGCATGCATTCTACTGTACACGGTAACTAGATAATTTGAGTCTTTGGCAAGCCACGGTTCCATTGCGATTAACGACTGAGTCACATCTGAAAATAAAGGACTAATTAAAAATGTTCAAGGTGTTCTTGCAGATTGTCAAGCACACACACCTGCCACGTCCGAAGTCTTTATAGGGTGTCTATTTAGAAAGGCTCCTTTCTGTCTCCTCGCGGTAAACAGTTGCCTCATCAGCGGATTGTACACTATACCGATCTCTGTTTTCTTATTAATTAACAATGCCAAGGAGATGCACGTGTGGGGAAATCTGTGCACAAAGTTGGTCGTGCCGTCTATGGGATCAATGATCCACGTTGGTTCATCCGTTAGCTTCGGCAAACATTTGTCCTCTGCCGTTCCTTCCTCGCCGATAAATCTGCGAATCCATCAGATGATTATCGAATTTTCTACTGTTTTAATTACTCCACCGTCTTCAAGGTTCACATACTTGTGCTCCGGATAGATTTTCGACAACTGCTTCTGCAAATCCTTCTCTATTTTGCGATCGTACTCCGTTACCAGGTCCCAGTCGATCCCTTTGCTCTTCACACTCTTCTTTGTGTTGATCGCGTTCTCGATTACCTGCAATTCAGTCATTAATATTTTTACAATGAGCTCGCAGTATTTAGCGAAATGACTTCCACTTGTTCTATCGAACGAATCCTCGCAATTCGACTTATAGGTATTTTAATTTTTTAAAGATCAACCACGGTTCGTTGAATTGTTTCTTTTTTTTTCTGGCACACTGCACGCTGTTTAAAAATAGTTAACACGGAAGATAAATTGCACCACGCGATTTTAAACTATCCGGTATGGGGTCTGCGTCCAATATAGAATCACGTACTTTTCCCGCTTTCAAAACCAGTTCCTCGGCCACATTGTAGTATCCTTCAATATCGTGCGACTGCATCGTGGTTCTTCTAGCAAGAGCTCGCGTCGATCCGAGGTTTCTACACTGCTGCACTGACACTAAGGATGCACTTGCCGGCCTATATAGTGACTAGAATGGAAGAAAGAAGAGAGCGGGGCAAACGAGAAATAGGTGGGGCGAAAATCCGTAATGTCTGATTTAGCGAACACCTATGTGCTGCACTTACGTGCGACCAGCACACACGACCGCTTTTAATTGATATTGGTGGTCGCGCGTGGTACATAATGATTTCTTGAAATAAATAAACGTAATCTCGGTGGATCCTTGTCGCTTGGTAAATCATACTCTTTTTTTTCTTCCTCGTCGTAATTCACGGGTTTTCCTCGGCTGTCGTCTATGCGACTTCGTCACAAAACTTTTCCCGGTATACTGCTCTTCGTCATGATCGTTTTATCAGACGGCAAGATTAAATCGCAGACAATTTTATCAGGCGTTATTATCGAAACGAAAGTGTAATCGATCAACTTGGGGAAACTGTGTTTATATTGTATTCAATCTAAAAAGTAGATTAAATAGGAACAATCGAACACGGAGCTTTTTTTAAACGACCTTTTTTCTATTTTTGAAATTCGTGCAGGCAGATTTTTGGAGTATTTTTAGGGCGAACGAGATCAGGGATGCACTGAGAATTGATAAGTTTGTTTACTTTTCTCTTGTATTAGTTCATTTGGAAAATACTTGTTTCGAGGGAAACAGTCGATAGAGAGAACTTTGATCCTATAAATTTAGATACTTTGGTCTTATGATTTGAAATTTTACATACGATTTACATGTTCTTCCATACGTTACATTAATAATATGTTAATAATGTTTGTTTTCCGATCTCTTTTAGATCATACAAACGACAAAGAAGTTAAACAAGTTAAGAGAAGTTAATCCAATGAAAGACAGAGAATAATGGTATACAACCGACATGGCAGCGATCCTATTGATTAATGCAGTTCTAAAAGAAATCAGAGACGGTATTCGGGAACAAATAAGTTTAGACAATTATGGGATATTTCTTTTATTGTCACTGCCGTACAGAAAAATCACTATTCTTTATTCTCTACTCTTTGGTCGGCCTCGCGAATGATGTTGAAGACTTCTCTAGCGATCTTCTTATTACATGCACCGATTGCACGAGGTTTCATGATGTCTATTCTCTCGCCTGCGAACAAAATCACTGTGTTCATTTCTAAAACGATCACGAGATCACACAGAAAACGATTCGATCACCTGTTTCACGATCTAGAACCACTCCGCCAGCTTCGGCAATTATCAGCGAAGCTGCGGCGATGTCCCACGTCGAGATCCCTGGGCCCTCTATGTAATAGGCCTCCACGATTCCCAGGGCGACGTAGCATAAAGTCAGTGCAGCCACTCCGAGCGTGCGAATCCTTTAAATCGCAAGAAATCATTAGTAATCTCCATCAAAGAATTACACGATTAGCATCCATCGATTCCGAAAATCTCACCCCTGAGCTGCACGAATAAGAGCTTGCAATCTCTCCATGGTCTTCTCTCTCAGGCTGTCCACTTTCACGAAGCCTGCTTCCATGCAGACCAGTGCCTTCGATATATCTGTGGAAGCGATCAGTTTCAATTTCAACGCTGGATCTTTGCGCCGGACAAGAACGTTTTCCGATCCAGGACGCATAAGTTGAATGAAAAATGGGTTTCTTCTTTTAATATATTTAGGAAGTCGAACTTTATACGGTGAATTGGACTGTGTAGGTCCTTATGCCAATTATCAATTTCATTAATTTTATACAACTATAATTTTTGTTAATATGCTCGTCTTTTGCATGCCCTTGAATTCTTCTAATATTATTGCATTCTGCGTTCAGTCGGTTTATTTATTATAAAAGCTTAAAGTTCGTATTTATCAGTGACCATCTTTTAAAATTAAATTAACCGTGTGCAATGTGAAATATTCATGGGAAAATAATATTGCTAACGTTTTAAATACAATGAACAACTTTGTGGTGCTGCAGCCTACCTTTATCTAGCAAATAGGCTGTTACGATAGCCTAGAAATCGAATCACTGATGAAATTTTGCGACATCGTTGCACAATATTTGGATAATTAAATGCAGAAGTTGCTGTATCATGTTCATTGCATTCTGAAGGATACTTTTTACCTTGGAAGTAAGAAATCTTATGGTACTCTCGGCAGTGACAAGGCCTGGGTGCGACAGGAGAGTTTCACGGTGTTCATTGACACCGACCCACCTTGAACTGTGGAGACCTTGATCGGTTCCCCGTTCAAAAACGCGCCTCGTCCTTTCCTCGCGGTGAACAGCTGCTCGAGGACAGGGTTATAGACGATACCAATCACCATTTCTTTCTTAATCGCCAGGCCGATCACCACGCAGGTGTGTGGAAACCCGTGAATAAAGTTGGTCGTGCCGTCGATCGGATCGATGATCCATGTCGGATCATCCGTTAGCTCGGGTAGCTCCTTTCCGGTCGATTCTTCGCCTATGAACCTGTTCGAATGAATATGTTCGAAGTGAAATATATCTTGGACAGCTGATTTTTTTAAACTAAACTGCACATTGATTTGCCGAGATCCTTGGCCTGTGAAGCTGACGCGAATATATTCTACATTTTCCGAACCTCGCAACCGAGATGATCTAAAATGTAATGTTATTCAAATAATGTTATAATAATAATGTTATTCAATGAATTGTTAAAATTGTTAAAATAATGTTATTCAAAGTAGGGGGGCGGGGGGAAGGGTATATTTGACAATTATTTTCCAAACTTGGAACACCATCGGTTTCATCGATACTTCACCCGGTGATGGTCACACGAGTGCTTCGCAAATTGCCTGATATTTTCATTTCGCAGATTTGTTTAATCTATTACACCATCGAGATTTGGAAATTTCGATGCTAAACACTGCAGAGTCTCCTGACGAGGGATCTCCTCCGTTCGCAACCGGCAAAGTCTGTGACACGGTCGGATTGATCATACGTGCCTGTGATTGGGAAACTTGGTCTTCAGCTTGCCAATGATGACGTTCTCTATTTTGCGATCGTACTCCGTCACCAGGTCCCAGTTACCTAGTTTTTCGTCCACCTTCTTCAATCCGCTGATGGCCGTCTTGAGAATCTTGAACAGTAAATCATCCAGTTGCGTACTTTCTCCTCGATCTTCAATATCAACCTCGTAGGGAGCAGAGAAAAAAAGAACAGAGATTCTCTTTCACGAAATTTTCAATCAGCATCGCGCCTATAGTTCATTCGCGTACTCGCGAGTTGCAATGGTGGATACACATATCCGTGACCTGGCAAAAAAGTACCGGGGTCAATTCTTTCCGATCGATCGAGCATTCGAACGGCAATTACGCTCGCAAACGGCAGGGTGGTCGTGCTGCTGCTGCTACAGTTCATGAAAAATGAGCAACGCGAAAGGTAGAATACATTGACGCCACGGGAAAACACTATGAATCGAGGTGTGACGCAAGCAACGTTTCTTTATTTGCCTCGGCGGCGTCTCCGGTTTCCCCAGTTTCACACTCGAAAGTATATGGTTGTGTCACCTGAAATTACCGTTTTCTTTTTGCATATTTTTAAACGTAGCTTGCTTTAACGACCTTTTTCCGTCGAGATTCCTGCTAGTTGAAAAAACAAAACAACACAGCATTGCGGAATGCTTGGAACGCGCAAGCAATTCGAGGTTCGAAGTTTCTTTGGTTTTGAATAGTTTCCTGCTGATCGGACATAATATCCTCTACCGTGTTTTCCTTGCTTCTATCACGCGTGGACATTAATTGTCGAGGAAAATTTTCATTTCTATGTCAAAGTTCCGTACACGACGATGCTTCGATTATTGTCACCGAAATGCGACTATAAGGATCGTAACGGCGTTCGCGTTGAACGTCTACAAATTTTGCGAACGTTCCCAACTGGACCGTGAATTTTAACACGTTCCGTGCCGAGCTTTTTTACTCGAATCTTCACACTTTGATATTTTACTAAAACTTGATGTATTACGTGCAATTATTAATTCTCGTACACATAACAACGTAACAAAAACTTATCAACGCCCATTCTTGCGGTGGAAATTGATTCTTCGGTTCTAAATTTCTTGTAAACAATTTGTTCAGTTCACTAAGTAAACATGCAAGCGTGTACCATCGATGGTACACGTGGCACGGAACGTGTTAATCAACGATCGAAAACCACGATCGTCTTCTCACTGTTCCGTTGTTCTTACCTGAGTTTTAGAAGAAGAAAAATGCAGCCAAGAGCTCCGATTATAGCAAAACGAACAGTTCCGACGCTCGCGATTCACAGAACGTGAACGGTTTTTCGCGAGTGATCTTGCTCGTTCGACGCGTTAGAAGAACGAATTTAGAAGGAACCGGAACGCGTAATTTTCATTTTCGTCACGAAATCACGATACTAACGAGAACGTTGGTACTCACCTGCGCCGCGTCCCGCGTCAGGGTGATTGCGAATTCATAGTAAACGTCCTCGGCGTAGCGCGCCATGTTTCCAGGAGACCGACGATCGTTTAGATCCTCGTCAGGAATACGCGTCAACGGATACTGCGTTCGCCAGACCGGTATCCTGTTCTTTTCATTCGAAACCGCTTCGGATATATCGTTGTTATGACTCAATGGCTCGATCCATCGATCCCCGTGTTTCTCCCTCGGCGCGGCACGAGTATCATTTTCGGCTCGCCCGTTCCCCGCCAGTCCTTACGACCTCGAGATAACGCGGGCCCCGACACAATGAACGGAGCCTGTCATAGTTTTAATTCGGCAAACAGAACGGTTCTCAAAATGAAGTTTTCATGGCGCGCAGCCTCCGCTCCGGACAGCCGTGATTTATACGTGATAAAACCCGCTCGCGGTTTTGATGGCTGACGGCCGCGCTTGTTGTTTCTCAACCGATCCTTCGCTAATTAGCCTCGGGACCAATCGGACGCGGGCGTGATAACATCGCTCCGAAGGCTGGCTGCGACCAGAAACGTGAGATCTATCGCTTTTTTTTCCTTCCCCCGCGGTTTTTATTCATCGTTCGCGTTCAGCGTTATGCAAATTTCGCGTTGCAGCCGACGAATCNCAATTCGAGGTTCGAAGTTTCTTTGGTTTTGAATAGTTTCCTGCTGATCGGACATAATATCCTCTACCGTGTTTTCCTTGCTTCTATCACGCGTGGACATTAATTGTCGAGGAAAATTTTCATTTCTATGTCAAAGTTCCGTACACGACGATGCTTCGATTATTGTCACCGAAATGCGACTATAAGGATCGTAACGGCGTTCGCGTTGAACGTCTACAAATTTTGCGAACGTTCCCAACTGGACCGTGAATTTTAACACGTTCCGTGCCGAGCTTTTTTACTCGAATCTTCACACTTTGATATTTTACTAAAACTTGATGTATTACGTGCAATTATTAATTCTCGTACACATAACAACGTAACAAAAACTTATCAACGCCCATTCTTGCGGTGGAAATTGATTCTTCGGTTCTAAATTTCTTGTAAACAATTTGTTCAGTTCACTAAGTAAACATGCAAGCGTGTACCATCGATGGTACACGTGGCACGGAACGTGTTAATCAACGATCGAAAACCACGATCGTCTTCTCACTGTTCCGTTGTTCTTACCTGAGTTTTAGAAGAAGAAAAATGCAGCCAAGAGCTCCGATTATAGCAAAACGAACAGTTCCGACGCTCGCGATTCACAGAACGTGAACGGTTTTTCGCGAGTGATCTTGCTCGTTCGACGCGTTAGAAGAACGAATTTAGAAGGAACCGGAACGCGTAATTTTCATTTTCGTCACGAAATCACGATACTAACGAGAACGTTGGTACTCACCTGCGCCGCGTCCCGCGTCAGGGTGATTGCGAATTCATAGTAAACGTCCTCGGCGTAGCGCGCCATGTTTCCAGGAGACCGACGATCGTTTAGATCCTCGTCAGGAATACGCGTCAACGGATACTGCGTTCGCCAGACCGGTATCCTGTTCTTTTCATTCGAAACCGCTTCGGATATATCGTTGTTATGACTCAATGGCTCGATCCATCGATCCCCGTGTTTCTCCCTCGGCGCGGCACGAGTATCATTTTCGGCTCGCCCGTTCCCCGCCAGTCCTTACGACCTCGAGATAACGCGGGCCCCGACACAATGAACGGAGCCTGTCATAGTTTTAATTCGGCAAACAGAACGGTTCTCAAAATGAAGTTTTCATGGCGCGCAGCCTCCGCTCCGGACAGCCGTGATTTATACGTGATAAAACCCGCTCGCGGTTTTGATGGCTGACGGCCGCGCTTGTTGTTTCTCAACCGATCCTTCGCTAATTAGCCTCGGGACCAATCGGACGCGGGCGTGATAACATCGCTCCGAAGGCTGGCTGCGACCAGAAACGTGAGATCTATCGCTTTTTTTTCCTTCCCCCGCGGTTTTTATTCATCGTTCGCGTTCAGCGTTATGCAAATTTCGCGTTGCAGCCGACGAATCTGGGGAAACTATAATTAGACGGAGGTGTATCTCCGCTGTAAATGACTTCCCGCTGTAACGCTGCCTTTCGAACCACCGTAATTTCTTGCAAATTTCTTCGCGAACGTCCCCTTTTATTATCGACGATCACTCGTTACCGGAGGTCAGAGGATGATCCGGAGTGTTCGTGTCCGCTCCTGGACGTATTTCTGCCGCTGACTGCCAGGACGCTTGCTTCTTGCTTGGCTCCAAGGTCGTCGCTATCTTTTTCTTTTTTCGGTACGAGTGTCTTGGAGATTCTATAAATCAACGATAGTCTGGCTAACTGAAAATTGATCTCAAATAGTGAAAAAAGAATTTTGAAATACACGTATTTCGGTGCAGATGTCAAGTCTCAAAAGGAAGAAAGAGATGTTTGTTTAGAATCTGTGAAAAAGAAATTAAAAGAATTTAAGGGAATCGATAGAACGTATTCATTTTTGTTAAATTATTATCAACGGAGCAGAGACATTTTTATTTCCAAGCCCGAGAACGATTCTTATGACGAATAAATGCACAGAATTGCATATAGAATATAGAATATATAGAATATAGAATTGCATATAATAAGTCAGCCACATTTATAAACGATTAACATGGCGTGTACCATGATGATTTAAACGATTCATTCTGCGTTTATTCTATCTCCATCCCGAGTATGATAAGACTTTGCTTCGATAGAGAAACGTCTAGAATCGCATAGGGTCCATAGAAAATGCACACGGTATGGAAAACATGAATCTGTAAACCTAATGTCCACGGCTATTCCGACATCTGCGTCCGAGAGCCAATCCGGAGGCAAAATGCTCCATCTATACGTAGAACTTCTCCATTACCATATTTATTATGGAATTTTTCACTCCTACGAGTAAACTGCACTTAGATATCACTCACTGTTAATGAGGTTACGAAAGAATCAAGATCATTATCAACCTCGCGAGAAAATTGCCGGCGGATTTTGCTACAGTGACAACCGATGTGTCCAAGGGGTATGGCATGGCGGCTTGGCAAAAGACTGTGCCAAGGTGAAACATTATGATCACACTTTCACAGCGGCGATCAGCTGTGGCCGCACGGGATTACTTCAATTATCGCGTTTAATTAGCTGTATCACAGCGAAAACCGGCTCTTTTTATATACATGTATATCGGCGGCCCTTTTTTTCCCGAGGGTCGTTTGTTCGATCGATTGTTGGGCGAATTCAACGGCCGTGTTCCTTTTCTTATGGCACCCGTGTCAAGAGTGGGACCATAATAGGATTCGCGATATTTGCGTTGCGCGAGATTGCATTCTAAGAAACGGCAGGTGTTGCCTCTTACCGTGTCCTTGAGATCTATCGATCTTTTTGCTCGTTAATTTGTCAGCAGAAATCGGTTAATTCGTGCCTCTGGACGGGGCCATTACACGTGCTGGCACCGTTAACCGTGTGTGTATGTTTTTTTTTGTCCAATAAGAAATAGAAGCTCTGGAAAACACGATCGACAGTTCCTAAAACAACTGATCTCGATTATAGAAATCGTGCGTTTTATAAACGCTTTATCTTTTCTTCGTCGAAATATTGCAAATCCAGCGAGGTAACGTTGAATTTTTAGAATGGTCTTAAGTGTTCTTATTGCCGATTAAAACATGATTCAAGGACCTTTAGAACAGTCTTCTAAAATATGTATTCTTAGAGTATTTGCAAGCCACGTTTGGCTATCTCGGAAGGCAATAGAATAATAAAAAACGACAATCCATTCTGTGCAGAAGCACAGTGTGTATCAATCGATTACTTTGATCGATGTATGCACTTGCTATCTGGAGGCTCGACTTGATTTGTGATTGCTATTTTTTGCTAGTACACGATTAACGTCGGTCTGTCGAATTGTTAACAATCTAAATGATTGGTTTCCGAGACGTTGTCTCGGTTTTCTCGGAATCTGTCTCGATCGCGTTACACTTATTCATCGGACGTGATCGAAATAATCGCTGTTCCGAAGTTTCCCGTTACCAAAGATCCCATTCCCCCAGTGATTCCCCTGCAGATCGATCTGCTACCTTGTATCTGGGAGATCGTGAGTCATTTGTTTATTCGTAACCCCATCGCAAAAGGAAATAGCCGCTGAAAAACGCGGAAACGTTCCTGCGAAGTATATTTTTAGCTGCGGTATCATTTTCTCGGACATCCGAACATTTTCGCGGAAAATAATATTTCCATTTAAGCGATGGATTAAATATCGTTTTATTCACATCGAAACGAGTTAAACGAGTTTCATTGAGTGTTCGTTCGTTTTGTTCGTACAAAACTCGGATAAATTACGCGATGAAAAGGACATAAAATCGTACAGCCCCGCTACCAATGACTAAGCTTGTTACAAAAGATGTTTCAAATTATGTGTTTTGTTCGTGAAAAGAAATTTAAAAAAAACTGGCTTCCACCGAAATAAAACGTTAACGCTCGAACAAAATTGTAGATTAATTTTCGTTTAACAAAACTTAGATAAATTACGCGACAGAAAGGACATAAAATCGTACAGCCCCGCTACCAATGACTAAGCTCGTTACAAAAGATGTTTCAAATTATGTTTTATTCGTGGAAAGAAATTTAAAAAAAACTGGCTTCCACCGAAATAAAACGTTAACGCTCGAACAAAATTGTAGATTAATTTTCGTTTAACAAAACTTGGATAAATTACGCGATAAAAAGAACAGAAAATCGTACAGTTCCGCTACTAATTACTAAGTTTTGTTGCAAACGATATTCCAATTTACTTGATTCGTCGAAACGAAATTTAAACATACCGGCTTTCACTGAAATGAAACGTTAACGTACCAACGAAAATTGAAGGTTAATTTTCGCTTGACAACAATCGAATCGATCGGACGATAGAAGGGAAAGATAGTTCGTCAACAACGAAGGAAAACGATATTCTGAAAAAAATGTAACAACGTTTTTATTCGTTCCGCAAGGACTCGACGAGTGTTTCCCCGATTGCCCAACAATCGGACTCGCGAGTTTCAGTATAAAGAATCCTCGATCGAAACGACAATTAGATCAGGTTCTGGTTAATCTCTTGCGCATCGTCTTCAAGTCCGTGTTCACGAACACATTCTTCAGCTCTGTCCCCAAGGTTTCGTTCGCAGCCGCGAGTATGTCCGGTTTCATTAGATCGAATTCAGATGCTGAAGAAATCGAGAAATATCGTTTAGTACACGTATCCGATGTTCTAGGACGGTGTTTGTTTAGCCTATTCATAAAAACGTGAATATACTTTTTATGCTGCCTATCGAGCCACCAGCTTCACGAATAAGCAACACGCCCGCTGCAACGTCCCAAGGCTGAAGTACGTCCATTTGAAAGCAATCCAATGCACCTTTCGCTATGTATGCTAACGCGAGCGCGGCTGATCCTGTGAACCTGATACTGGATTCAAGACAAAATTAACGGGCCTTCGGGCCATTGTTCTGCGATTTTTCTGCTGGCATCGGAATGCTAGCCGCAGCCTTCGAGTTAACTCGCCTGCCAATCCGTTTGGCCATTTTTTCCCAACCGAGAATTCAGTTAATTTTTTTACACTTTTCATCGTAGCGAAACTTGGCTACTCGATCTCTCTCTACTTTGCGAGTCGTTCGAAGTATACTTCAATGACGCTACAGTTACAAGCTCGTTGATCTTTTAATCGACACAACGATTTATCGGTACAGGCTATTAACAGCTCATCAACTGTTCGAATTATTTTATAATTTTTCAGCGAGGCTTCTCTGAGAATTGTCTGAACTATTGAAAACAGCGAATATTTAATCCTGCTCGTTCCTGGAGAAACCTAACACCGAATAACTAACCAAAGGATTGTTTGAAGTATTTTAACTGGCGAAACATGAATACGGTTGATTTTACAATCTTTGAACTTCGCTTAATGTTTTAGCTTGCTTAAGAATTTGTCAGCGAGAATTTGCTGAATCGCGTGCTGGGTACAGCGAGCTTCGAAAGTTCGATCATTGAAGTATAGGACGATATTTTGAATTCGCGATAGAAAGTATTATAGGAAGGACAGTTAATTAATTTCATGTTACCCCCGTGCTAGCTCGAGCATGGTTTCGAATCTGGCCATTTTGATGTCCCTGTTCTTCCCCTTGTGCCTCAGGGAGAACACCTCCATTTCGATCAAAGCCTTCCTCAACTCTGCGAAAGAGAACCAGAAAAAGGGAACGTGTTAATTAAATAACAAGCATATGAAAATGTTTGTTCGGTCGAGCGACTCGTCGATTAAATCGTTGCGCGTTATTTTTCTCTGTCGAAGCTGATAATTAAGATTGCGAAAAGAAAAATCCGTTGTTACGCCAGATTTCGTAACCTAATCAAAGGCAACGATTTACAGGTAGATAAGGTTTAGTTAATTACTGGAGTGAGCACGCACGGCTGGATGCGTTACGAAGCCAATGTCAATGCGCAGTACGATTGAATTATGCATATTCGTTTAGATTCTCGCCATTATTATCGTGTAGAAACCGCTTAAAAAGTTATTTGTGATTTCTGAATCACATCGTTCGACCATTTACGCGTTCGGATACCTGACCGGTCACTTATTACACAATAAAATGCACTTCTCGCTGCCAGTTCGTTACATTATTTATCGTATTCCTCCCAGCGACAGAAATGACATTTCATTCTAATCGCGAAGTTTCGATTAAAGGAAGAAAATTCGAAGAAGTTCGGCCATGTTCTGCTTTCAAAAAAATTAATAAATCACGAACCGATTAAATTGGCATCTTCTTAAAAAATCATCGTCTCTCGAATTAGACGTTTCTGCGAATTTATACGCAGTCGTACCACACGGAAATTCTGAAATACGAGGCTCTCGATAGCTCCTCACGTTTATAGAATGTAGTCATCTCACTTTTAATCGACTCACTTTCATTGGACGTTTCATTTCGCCTTTAAAAACTTCTACAGACTGTGTTTCTATTGTTTCTGCTACGACAACAGTCTGACAAGCCTGTTTAACAACGATAACAGCGCTACTATCCTTCTCCAAATCACAATAAAATAAACAAACAGATGTAACCGAAGGAAAGAAATCCACGAATTGTTTGCCAAGCGACAACATCGGAGAGACCTCGTTCGCAAAGGGTTAATCCGCAAAGCTGGCCTTAGATAGGCAATGAATCGAGCTTCGAGAATATGGAGGAATTACCGTCCACGTTCGATGTTTTGATAGGCTTGCCGTTCAGAAACGCTCCCTCCCCTTTCACAGCAGTGTACAATTCGGGTGTCAGAGGATTGTAAACGATTCCGACGACGATCTCCTTGCAGATCGCCAGGCCGATCGAGATGCAGGTGTAAGGGAACGAGTTCACGTAATTGATCGTCCCGTCGATGGGATCTATGATCCATGTCGGTTTGTCGGTGAGCTCGATCGATCTTCCATCGGTGGCCGATTCCTCGCCGATAAATCTGCGAACCAGGGCTCAAAGTTCGATGAAAAATTAACAAAACAAAACGCCTGTACGCGTGCATGCATACACGCGCGCGCGCAATGATATCCAGCGGGGACTCACTCGTGATCGGGGAACTTCTCTTTCAATTGCGTGATCAACAGATCCTCTATCTTCTTGTCGTATTCCGTGACCAGGTCCCACTCGTGCTTCTTGGTCCTCACGTCTTTCTCACCTTCGAAGCCGCATTTGAATATCTGAAACGAGGCGAGATTAAGTGGCCGACAGAAAACGTAATCGCGCGAGATCGCTATCTCGTGACTGATAAGCCACCGGCGAGATAAGCAACAGCGAATTATTGATACGTGATTCATTGGTATTAGCCTTTCAATTTTCCAGTGGATTTTGATTTGTTCAGTGATTTTGCGATTTCGTTCGGGGACTAATTAAACGAAACGAGATGAGACCGTATCTCGTGCAACGCTACGGAATAATACAGGGTTTATTTACTGTCGGCTGTATGCAGCAAATCCAGCCTAATTGACGCGCCCAGCTTAGAAACAACAATGCGCAATTTTGGAAGAGATTATATTAGGGGGGCCGGAAAGTTACGTCGTTTGTTTACATTAAATTCAAACAGATAAATACTGTCTCTTATACACATCTAGATGTGTATAAGAGACAGGATTATATTAGGGGGGCCGGAAAGTTACGTCGTTTGTTTACATTAAATTCAAACAGATAAATATGCGCCGAAACGACATTACTTTCCGATCCCCCTAATAGTTACCGATTGTCAACGACTATAGTTGTTAGTCTACTAACAACATTCGACATGATTAGCAACGAGGAACTCGACCTCTGCTACGATTTTGGTCTGAAGCTGGCCGCCGAGGCGGGAGAGGTAATTCAGCGGAACTGTTTTTTACATTAATTTACAACAGTGACGATATAAGACGTTTATTCGGATTTTTAACGAGCGTTGTGACGCAAGTAACACACGTGTTGTATAAATAGAACTCGTGAATGTACGTTTACAATCTGATTACAGTGAATTCTCCTTAATCGACGTTCGGATTGTATAGAAAAAATGGACAGTTCGGGAAGAGGAGACACGATTATTCGAGTCTCGCGGCTCGTTTTCATAGTTGTTGACAGTCGGCTGTATGCAGCAAATTCTGCCTAATTGACGCGCCCAGCTTGGAAACAACAATGCGCAATTTTGGAAGAGATTATAGTTGTCTTATAATTATAGTTGTCTTATATTATATAGTTGATTATAGTTGTTGTACCGATTGCCAACGAGTATGAAAACGAGAGCCGCGAGGCTCGAACGATCGCATCTTCTTCCCAAATTGTCCATTTTTGTATACGATCCGAGCGTCAATTAGGGAGGATAGCGCGTCTGCTATTTCGTTTGCCGGTTAATTAAATAAATCGGGATTAGAATCGTTGCATTCCGTTACAATTTTNTACTAACAACATTCGACATGATTAGCAACGAGGAACTCGACCTCTGCTACGATTTTGGTCTGAAGCTGGCCGCCGAGGCGGGAGAGGTAATTCAGCGGAACTGTTTTTTACATTAATTTACAACAGTGACGATATAAGACGTTTATTCGGATTTTTAACGAGCGTTGTGACGCAAGTAACACACGTGTTGTATAAATAGAACTCGTGAATGTACGTTTACAATCTGATTACAGTGAATTCTCCTTAATCGACGTTCGGATTGTATAGAAAAAATGGACAGTTCGGGAAGAGGAGACACGATTATTCGAGTCTCGCGGCTCGTTTTCATAGTTGTTGACAGTCGGCTGTATGCAGCAAATTCTGCCTAATTGACGCGCCCAGCTTGGAAACAACAATGCGCAATTTTGGAAGAGATTATAGTTGTCTTATAATTATAGTTGTCTTATATTATATAGTTGATTATAGTTGTTGTACCGATTGCCAACGAGTATGAAAACGAGAGCCGCGAGGCTCGAACGATCGCATCTTCTTCCCAAATTGTCCATTTTTGTATACGATCCGAGCGTCAATTAGGGAGGATAGCGCGTCTGCTATTTCGTTTGCCGGTTAATTAAATAAATCGGGATTAGAATCGTTGCATTCCGTTACAATTTTATGTAATAACGCGTAATAATTGCGATGATTTAGTGCTGATCAAAACTGTGAAAACATCTCACGATGCCCGATAATAATATCAAACGTAAGAACTGTTCGTTACTTAGAAAAATCGTGAAAGGAGACCGATGTACATGTTACAATGCACAGTGAAAGAATAGATAAAGTAACTGTTTCACTATGTTTACTAGCTATTAAGATCGTGGAAGATTATCGTGCGATAATTCAGTTTGATTACTTATGTTTATTACATGAATTATTCATGGATCACAGCATCAATTCAATGAAGCAATAACTCTCGACAATGTGGCCGATAAAAATCGCTGGTAATTGTAACGGCGTTACGTTTAACGCGTGTTCTGAGAAATTCATTCGGCGAAGAGATTCACACCCCTTCAGAAGCGTTAGGACGCTCGTAGAAAATGAAATAAATTTGACGAACCGATAGGAAATTGTTGTAATTTCTCTTCAATTTATTTCAAAATTAATCGTATGAAACTGCAACGATTACATACTTCTATGTTTTCTTTCTACATTATAATTAGAGTAACGTCAACTTTATAAAAAAAATAATTAAATTTTCTTTTCGTCGATACATGCATCCACCGTGATTTTTAATTACTTCTAGGACCAATTTCGGCATCCGTTTTATCAATTCGTTCATTATTTCTGATCCTGTTCGGTTCCATGCATGGTTCCAGTATGTTAATAATAATATATGTATATAATATTATATATTAATATAATAAAAAAATATTGTATTGTATATATTATATATTAATATAATAATATTGTATTATATATATTATATATTAATATAATAATATTATATTATATTATATATATATTATGTATGTATATAATAATAAACGAACTCAGCATATATGTTTTCAATGAACAAGATGCAATGAACGGTTAAATTAATTGCACAAGCGACAGACACATTTAACCTTAACTTTGTGTACCTTCGTCGATACGATGCCGCGTAAAATACTTAATACTAAACCGAATGAAAAATTACGATTTATACTAAATCAACGGATGTCCCAATACATTTGACGAGGGTTGTATGTCGGGTTAATTAGACGAATTTCCGGTTTCAACGAGAACACTTTTCGGGAAGGAGCTGTTTAACGAATGCCCCGCGGCCACGAATAATGCCCCATCACGCATTGAAATCACCAGAACGAAGTTTCCATTGATCGCGTTCGCAATTCTATCATTCGAAGAGGATGAGTCACGTTTCCCTCGCTCGTGCATTCGAAATTTCAAGGACACCTGCGGTGCAGACGTTGCGTTCGCTAAAATTCGTTATATAATTCCGATATTCAGTTTTTATTATGTAATTAAAAAACGCGCGATCTTCTCGATCGAAGGATAATAGGGGAACCACTATAATCTTCCGTCAGTGTTTTTTGAGTGCTTTTCGTATCGCGTTACGCATGAAATTCGTCGAGGAAAAGTGAAAGTAACGAAATAACCGAATCGTTCTTCAGCATTCCGAATTAAACATTTTTCTGATAAATTAATAACCCGCTTCGACAATTCAAAATCAAAGAATTAATTTACTGGTTAACGAACGTCAACCTGTGTCTTTTTTTGTCCACTTCGACGAAAGTGATCAACGGCGAGAATAACATAACGTGCGAAATACTTTAAAAGCCGTTCACCGCAACGTCAATTCGTAAACGTAAATCTGTTTCGTGCTGTACCAGATATACCGCAGATTCCCTGCATTTCTGACAAGATTAGATAAAACACAGGCGTAGCGAAACAATATCAGAAGCGCTCAAGAACACACTGTCGTATTATCGCGGGCTTATTAAAATTGCTAGACGAAGAAACAAATTTCCATCTAACTTCTCGTTCCTCGCAGTTCACTGCGAAACTTTTGCGCAAGAGTCCCAGCAATTAATCCTCTCGTGTCATAAATGAAAAATCTCACCGATTCTTGCCGCGAAACGAACAACGCCTGAGCGGGGAACGCTAGAAAAACCACGCGTCATTCTCCGTTTCGCTATTGTCCTCCTATATAGATACGTGCAATTAAGAGAACGGTCGTCTGTTGTCAATCGAAAGGTAATTTGCTGCATCGACGGAGAGAGTCAACGGTAATCGAAGGTGGTTCGCATCGATTCCGAGGATCGATATAAAAATAAAAGAAGGTAAACGATCGCGGCTCACCTCGCCAGCTTTCAGGGTTAACTCCCTGGCGAACTCGAAGTAATTCCTGATGTCCTGTCTGCTCGACATTGTCGCTGAGGCTCTCGATGGAACGACTGATCGATCCGGCACACGGCTCGCTGGCAGCGATTCTCTTATCACTATCACCGGCGACAGAGAACCGCGCGAACGACATAGGTGGCTGAACTTAAACATTCGGTCTCGTTTCTTATCTAACGCGTCGCGCTATCAATCGATATTCAAGGAACCGTTTGAAGTTCGAGACTTATCCCAACGCTGCTTCTTCAAACTGCATTCCTTTCTCCTAGCCAGCGTGTTCGCCGGGTCGGAGCCCGTGTGCAAAATATTAGGGGGGCCGGAAAGTGGTGTCGTTTCTGCGCTTTGTCAGTATTTCTATTTTTTTGGAAAATACTAATTTTTGCATACTAAATGAAAAAAGGTTGTTGATAATGAGGGTGATTACATCATTGATTGAAAATAAAAACTAGTTAAAAATTTATCTGTTTGAATTTAATGTAAACAAACGGCATAACTTTCCGGTCCCCCTAATATCTGGGACATGCAGTAAATTCTTCCTAATTTTCTGTCAGCTTGTAAACAAAAGTGGACAATTCGGGAAGAGAAGATACGATTATTCGAGCCTTGCATCCCGCTTTTATAATCGTTGACAATCGGCAAATATAAATATGAGCCGCGAGGCTCGAATAATAATCGTGCGTCCTCTTCCCGAATTGTCCAGTTTCGTTTACAAGCCGAAGGGAAATTAGGGAGAATTTATTGTAACCGCGTTTCCGCTGAAAATCGACGATTTCGAAAGGTTTTCGGAATTCAAACCTGCGATAATCGAGCCGAGTGACGTAATCCGCGTTGAAATGTCGTCGAAAATTTGTCGACAGTTTGACGGACAGAATTTTGAAACTAATTAAAAAGAATCCGATGATCCTACGAGCTATTAAAATCCTTTTTGTTCGATCTTAATCACGCGGTACGATGCTACGATAGTTGTGGATCGGTAGAATATAACTTTTCTTATCGAGAGTTATATTGTCTTGTATCGAGAAAAAAATCAAGTCTCCGATACAATTATCAATTTACGCGGTGCTATACAGTGCACTCTGCGTCTGTACGTGTAGTAAACTACTCTAGCAGGAACACTAAGTTATTACCAAATAATTGTAGATTTCTGAACAACAGTTTCAAGCGTTGCAAGAGCTCAAGGTTCGACGATCTTCCAACTACNGTGATTACATCATTGATTGAAAATAAAAACTAGTTAAAAATTTATCTGTTTGAATTTAATGTAAACAAACGGCATAACTTTCCGGTCCCCCTAATATCTGGGACATGCAGTAAATTCTTCCTAATTTTCTGTCAGCTTGTAAACAAAAGTGGACAATTCGGGAAGAGAAGATACGATTATTCGAGCCTTGCATCCCGCTTTTATAATCGTTGACAATCGGCAAATATAAATATGAGCCGCGAGGCTCGAATAATAATCGTGCGTCCTCTTCCCGAATTGTCCAGTTTCGTTTACAAGCCGAAGGGAAATTAGGGAGAATTTATTGTAACCGCGTTTCCGCTGAAAATCGACGATTTCGAAAGGTTTTCGGAATTCAAACCTGCGATAATCGAGCCGAGTGACGTAATCCGCGTTGAAATGTCGTCGAAAATTTGTCGACAGTTTGACGGACAGAATTTTGAAACTAATTAAAAAGAATCCGATGATCCTACGAGCTATTAAAATCCTTTTTGTTCGATCTTAATCACGCGGTACGATGCTACGATAGTTGTGGATCGGTAGAATATAACTTTTCTTATCGAGAGTTATATTGTCTTGTATCGAGAAAAAAATCAAGTCTCCGATACAATTATCAATTTACGCGGTGCTATACAGTGCACTCTGCGTCTGTACGTGTAGTAAACTACTCTAGCAGGAACACTAAGTTATTACCAAATAATTGTAGATTTCTGAACAACAGTTTCAAGCGTTGCAAGAGCTCAAGGTTCGACGATCTTCCAACTACAATCTTTTGGAGCAGTTTATACCGCAATCGAGGAGTTCGATTAAATTTTTACTTCGCTTTATAGCATAGCCCTGCCAATCACGGACTAATTATCGTGACAATTCGCTGTCAACGATAGCAGAACACTTAAAAAATTGCATGCATGCGTCGCAAGGTTACGATTCAAGGAACAAAACTTGAGCGCAAAAAACATTGTATTATCGCCGAGGAACTTTGTTTCCAATTGTCTCTGAGCAGCCGCGCACCGCTTATGTAACCGATGCTACTGTCTACTGTCATCTATAGAAGACTGAGATTAACATAGTTAACGCTAATAGGACCCTAAGCGACGCTGGTTCAAGCGCTGCGGCTTCTCGTTTCTCGCAGAAACGATACTTTTTTAGCTTCTATTAACTAGGATCCTTCGTCAATCTTTGGTCGTTCGAGGCGTGAACAGAAGGATCGTCTACTTAATGAGCTTCAGTCTAAGAGGATTACGCGCGAAGAATATTCCACGGTTGTTTCTTATGCTTGTTTCTTCAGCGAAGTAGCGGCGTCGGCCTTTTTTATCAGCTTCACCAGTTCAACGGCCACGTTGCGATTGCCGGCGGCGATCACCTTCGGCAACGACACATTGAATTCACCGCCTAAGACAGAATAAAAGACACCGTTTACCATTCGTGACTAACTTACAAGCAACCGATCAATTAATTGCGAATTGAACATTCGTTTCTACCGTCTGAATTTCTGCCAGCGAACGAACTTCGAACTTACAGCAATGAACTAATAATTTCGCAATCCCACAGAGTTGTACAAATTTAGTGCGATCTCAGGCGTCCCTGTCGCATCGCTGTCGAGTAATCGGTAGACCGCGGTTTTTAATGCAAAATAAAAATTGTTCGTATCCACGGTACGAAACAGAAGCAAGATAAACGTGCGGCCTCTTCTTTTAATAGTTTCAACGAGCCAAAAATAGTCTAACAAGATTCGTAAATCCTTCCAACGTCTTCATTATTCGGTGTTTCAATTACCCGTTTTTTTTTTGCCATAAATGCACGATAATCCGCAGTGTAATAATCAGTGGAATTCGACGAACACCTCGGAACAGATCGTCGAAGATTTCATCTCCCCGCAGCCGGAGTATCTTTGCCACTGACACACTTTATATATGCAATGGCATTTGTTTTTATTATAGTTAATGGTAGTAATCATTAAATGATTCCTGTAATCGTTAGAGTAACCTTTTCAATTGAATACCCTTCGCCGCAGGTAATTGCCGGATCGTGGATCGCCGCGCGAGTCGAGAATTTTCGAAGTTGCTGTTTCCGTAATTGGTTTTGGGGGCGTGCGGACGATTCGGTTGCTATTAGATTTTCACATGCGAGAGCGGACACACGCACCGCTTGTATCAATCACCACCCCGCCAGCCTCCCTAATGATAAGCACGCCGGCAGCCACGTCCCAAGGCATCAGATTGTCACAGTGATAGGCTTCCGCTGCGCCCATTGCCACGTAACAAAGAGTCAATGCCGCTGATCCCATTGTTCGTATTCCGTGAGCAACCGAGACGAACGCCTCCATTCTTCCCAGAACGATGTCCCTGATGCTCTCGATCGTCGCGTACGATGCCTCCAGACAGAGCAACGAATGCTCCAATTCTGAAAAGTTGCAATTTTCTTGAGGAACACGGAAATTATCCAGAATTTTCTAGCTTCGGAGTAACGAACTTCTTGTGCTTTCCAGGTACAAAGATTTTTTAAGGCATTTCAATCCGCCGACGATAATTTCCATAACGATTCGTAAGAAACAAGCGCTTCAACTTTAACGAAAATCAATTTATTTGAGAAACATTCGCGGTATTTTCACTCTTCTAGTGTTCAGAGTGGCGAACCCTTCGCGCATTTTATATATGATCGATGAAATTAGTTTATGAAATATATTTACGGAATATTTTATACAGGATTCGAACAATTTTTCGCAACGAGTGCTGCGATTTTGAACAAAAATCTGTCTAACAACAATTCGGTTAAACTTCGTAGGAAATAAAGATCTCAGAATTACGTGCCGATCATGGTCGGGCGAATTTTCGACAAGAATTACGTGATACGGGAATGTAATTGTCGAAGAAATTCTTCGCGACAAATGCTTCGAGACAATTGTTTATCCGAAAAGCTGTTGAGATCGTTTCTCCTGAAATGGAAAGTTCCAAATTCGTACACCGAATATGTCGATATGTTGAACGATTATTTTGGGGCTTTCAGAAAATCATTTCGTTGGTTCAGGTTTGATCGGGACACTGTGTATATAGTTATTTCATAGGTACGGCAGTGGACGAGACTTCATGGCCAACTCAATTAATCAAATAGGATGATATAGTTTATTATTGATAGTATGATAGACGTTTTTTGAGATGAGCTCAACGAAGCGCAATATACACTCCCGTACCTCCCAACCGGCGGGAGGTCGTTAATTAATCAGGTCAATACGAATTAAGGATCTGCTGCCACGTGTCCGGACAGTGGTTACACCGTTATTCACAACATTCTTGTTTTAATTGTTACGTTGTTCGCAAGTGATCTCTTCGATCGTCTACAAATCTTCTCGTACTTTTTTCATACGATCATTTTGCTATTTAAGGGACACCGGGTGTAGAAGTTAAAGGGGTAAAAACTCGCAGTGGAAGTTACCGATCAATTGTCGCATAGTTGTCGGAATTTTACCAAGAAACAAATGCTCGGGACGCATTTGACTGGTCATGTCACGCGTGATATGTCGCGTCAAATGTGTGCGACGGGTCTCCAAATTGTTGAAATTATTAACACTATGCCGTACGCAGATCTTAGATATGATTCTTTTGTTTGACACCGGCACAATAGCTTGGAAATTTTAGATTTAAAAAAAATTTCGAAGATGACGGTAATGTAAATTCCTAAAATTCAGATAAGTCGTCCAAGAATTTTCGTACTTAATTCTTAGTTAAACGAGCACGATGCTATAGTCAGTTTGCTGCCTTTTAACACCCAAGAAATATAGTTCAAATGTTATTTCAGTTTTTTAAAATGTCACCAAAGTGGTACCACTGGCGTACGACAGATAGTTTTTGCATGGCACCCAGCGTGGTGCCACCGGACGGCATAGCGTTAACACTTTTCCACAAGAGTCGACAGAAAAGTTCCTTCGCTTGAGCTTAGATTGTAAGAAAAATGACGAAGGGTCCAAATAAATTCAGTCTTGTCGCACTTATAAAACAACGCGGATTACGGTAAAAACGATTATTCCAGTCTCGTGGCTCGTCTTTATAGTTGCCGATTGTCAACAATCATAAAAACGAGGTGCGAGGCTCGAATGATCGTATCGTCTCTTCCAAAAATTGTTCATTTTTGTTTACAAGCTGAAGGAAAATTGGGGAGAATTTACTGTGCTACGTGTGCACTAATTGTGGCAAATGACTTCAGAAGTGTATCATAATTTTGGGACACCTTTAGACAACATATGGGCCGTTTATTTTGAAAGTGGCATAAGTCACTTTGTTTTTAAGTCGATATATTTAAGGGTTTATATATAAGGGTTCTATATATAAGGGTTTATATATAAGGGTTATATATATAAGGGTTTATATTTTTTAAATATGGATGCTAACTTTCGAGAAGATTTACTTGTATTTGTTATCTCAGGATACTGATATTTTTCTCAGTATAAATAATT